AACGATCATTGATCCGCTCCAGGATGATGGAATGCGCTCGTGTAACCAGATGTCACGCATTACATCAGTAATGGAGTCTATAAGGTCATCTCCTCCCATCTTGAAAAGAGGGGGAGGAAGCCTGTCTGTCCTGCTCCTTTTCCTTTCTTCAGAGCCTGGACGCAAGAACGAACTTCTCCTGTAGTAGGAGGTCCAGATGACACTGCCCATGGAGCCTCAGCCACATCGGAGGAGAAAGTCTGGTTAGCGCCTGGCCAGCTGAACTGTTCGTTGAAGTACTCCGCCCACCGATCAAGCCGTTGTTCCCTATTGTGAATAGCTTGCCCACTTTTGTTGCACATTGTTTCACTAACTGTGGTTCGCCGACCTCCCNCTGACTGTTCCCTGATGCAGCTGCTACTTCCATTTCATTAGCTATAGTTGCCATCAGTTCTGACGGTCTTTCTTGAGGCTCCTCATGAGATGACGTTGTAGACGCCACCTAACCCTGCCTTGATCCCGGGTGGTTGGGATTTACCGCTTTTTCTCCATCAGTGCTACTGAATCATCAGATATCCAATACCTCGGGCGGGCTACTGCTTCAGATCTACAGGTAACGTTCGCTGCGGAGTGCATTGCTCGGATAATCTGGTCCAATTGTTCATTTGCACTACCACCCCGCAGCGCGTTTAGCTCTTGCCCCAGTTCTGATTAAAAACGGGCACAAACGGCTGGATTAGATAAGCGATGATCTGCCAATCAAGTTTGGAGGAACTTTCTGCGACCAGTGAGTTGGAGAGTGAACTGCATCAAAATTAACGTATGATCAAATTCAACGCAGGTGGTCTAACAGGATCTGCAGTTTTGTACTGAGATACGCCAACGGTAGCTTATTGCTATGTGGCCGATCTGAGTTAGCGTGCCAGTTGGATTTGAGCGCCACGTTGCTGTCCGTTGAGAGCTGTGTCAGAAGTTGGTGCTGGATAGGAACAGATGATCTGCGCAGAACTGAAGAAGTCGATCGCCATTATCTGTTCGCTGGCAGAGAAGAGCACAGTGACCGCCTAGGCGAGCTTCCGATGCGCTCAGCGTTAAAATCATCTGAGAGAACAACTATACCGGAGCTTCGGCTAAACCGAATGAGTTCGGGGAGTTTATCATAAAACTCGTCCTTTTGTGCGTCAGTTGGTCGGAGCATACGCTGAAATGATGAATAAACACCTTTTGATGTTGCTTCCCTTCCGGACGCTGATAGACCCTTAAAGCCGCATCGCACATAAGCGGCTTTTGACGGGGATCCAATCGAGTAGTGCGGATTCGGCTGTATTATTCAGTACAATGCCCACACCACGCTGGCCTACTGAACGGGCTTCGTTATCACCTGACGTGCGGAGGAAGAACCTCGAAGACAACTCCGATGCACTTAAGTGGCAAATAATACTAGGATCCTGGATTCACGTTTCCGACAAGCAGCAGACATCCATTCCCAGAGTCCATTGTACGCGCCGGACAGGCTTGTTGACCTATCTGCATCAGAGTCTTCACGTTGGAGGCCCCAGATTCAGTGGCTGACGAGGCTTCAGAATACGCAATCTATTTTGTGGTAAGCTACTTACCGAGCTACTTGGCAACGAACTTTGGTGAGTGACGAACAAGTTGTATGAGGGAATGTTACGGGTTGGAAGAAGGGATAAAGGGAGAGGGTTGGGAACGGAGGACAAAGAGTTAAACAAAGGTTGGGATATCTGAGCAGTAACCCACTTATCACTACCCACCCCGCTTGATGCAATGGGCAGCGCGGTCCTGATTATCCTGTGCGACGACCGATGCAGTATGAAATTATTCAGTTTTTGTGTTCATCGGAGCTTAATGGACGGGTACTGCCAGGGTGTCCAGCCACTAAGCAGAAGAACGATTAGGGTTCTCCTCCAAAGCCTTTAGTTCTGACAAGAACCTAACCGCAAGGCAGCGGGTAAAGCGAAGTAGAGGCCCATTTACTTGGATCAATTACTCCTCTATCATTTAACCGAACTGAGGTGCTAACTCGAGTCGAATCCCCAACCTGGAGGACCAGGAGACTGGACTTCGTCTGACCTCTACCCATTGACCTTCCAGGCATGATTAGATCTGCGGCTTGACAAAGGCCATCCCGTATAGCTCGTTGGGTCAGGGAGGTGCACAAGTCATCACACCACGTCAAGGTGCAGTCTCGTCGTGCTGGATTCAAAACAGAACACGAACAGAATGCACTAACTTGTAGAATCGGCAAGNGCAAGTACATGAGAAAAAACGATGTGGTAAGCAGAATCCAATTTCAAAACCACATAATCACTCCCACTTTGTGCCAAATGGCACGTGCGGATTATGGCAAAAACGAAACCAAGACATTTGATGGCGTCACCGGCAAAAATATGGCTATTGTTATTATTATCATTATTATTATTATTAATAGTAGTAGTAGTAGTATGATTAGCATTATATTAACTTCCTTTCTACTCAATGCGTACCAAATGCATAGTCAGAGGGGCCTCGAGGGGCGAGGACAGAAAGTAAGAAAATGGCAGATTCAGTGGGCAATTTGATCGTAGACCGCGAACAAACACCAACCATTTTTTTCTTATTCTACCCAAATACGGAAGCAACAGACGATACTTTAATTCACATTCTCGCCGATCAGTTGCTGGAAAGTGTACAACTGGATCTTCAAGTGGTAGATCTATTGCCTACTCAATAGACCAAAAAGCTTCTGTCAGACAGTTTATGAGAAATAAGCAATACATATGCAATGCTACTGTCGTGCAACGGTAATTTCAATCAGAAAGAAAGAATTGGCAAGCTAACGCTTCAGTGAAAGACCCCACGAGTACCTGCATCTGCGAATCAGTACCTTGTGCGATTAGGCGATGAAAAGTTTCTATATGAAGCCGACGTTTAATGTGGCTCAGTGTGGGAAAATATCGGTGATACAATAATTATTCTGCTAGAGAAAGCAAACCACATCAAAGTATGCCGAACACATACTGGTTGGAAACCGATGCGACAGTTTTACCGAGCTCACAGTTCAGAGCTGCCGATTCGGAATCTCGTGAAGGCAGCTGATTGTTTAGACAGCTGCATTGGAAACGTCATTAACTATTACAGGGCTAGACAAGCAATTATGTAAATTGATGAATGGGAGTGAGGATAGGCACGGAGTGGGCAATACAAGGCGGGAATAATAAATTGGAATCGTCTGAAAACGGATGTGATAGTGAAGAAATACGGGGCAAAACTCGGAAATTACCTTGCCTCCAAGATGCCTTGGTAAGTACGCAGTTCACGCATGAACCCGGAATTCGGTTGCACACAAGGTCGACGACATTTCACATAGGCCAAAGCCGTATCCAAGTTCCAATTTTGCTCCTTCATGGCGTAAGCAATAACCTTGAATGAGTTGTTCGCAAGGAAACAGTAATGTATGCGTAGACAGTGAACTAAGTACGTAGCAGAACATATACGGA